CAAACAATCATCATTGACTTTATATCATTTTCTTATCAGTATACTTTCTACTGGAATATAACTCAATGTTTTCACATATAACGATCTAGTATGTAAAAACACTTGGTTCTATATGGATACAAATTCGAAAAGACAAGACTTCAGCACATCTACGAATATTCAATTTTCATTTTGTCAAATACGGTCTAAAAGGAATGTTGAAGTATATAGAGTAGAAATTCGCACTCCCCTCCCCCTCCCTAGACAAATCATGTATTAGGAACATCTCATTAGAACATGTTGTTGACAGAGTCAGATCGGCTCAATCTACCCTGATAAGTAAAATAGATCTATAAAAAATCTCTATATTGACAGGAGGTGGAGGACGGAGAATGTTTGTTCTCGAGATATCGAAATTTTCAACGAATAGCTGTGGTCATGCGGAAAATTGACTTTCAATTCGCATGAAAAAAAATTCTTAATAAAATAAGTTAATTGTGTAAGTTATAGTATTTCCTTTCGAAACATGCAAAAGAATTTAAAATATTTAATATTTCAGAATAGGAGAAAGTTAAAACGTGCCCAATAAATTAATTTTATTGAGAACCTCGTTCATGTAAATCGAAAGTTAATTTTCTGAATAAACACTGATTTTCATTGAGAATTTTGATATGTCGAGAAAGAAGACTTGGCAAAGCGGATCACTCTAGACTGATCAAATGCATATTATGACAGTCGAAAAGCGATATGATTTTTGAAGAGGTTCCCATATGATTAGAATTCATCGAGTATGTTTAATAAACATACAACCTTCTACTAAACACTTCCAATTTTCTATTTTAATTGATAAAGAATTTGTCTCAGTTTTGAAAATATTCAACTAGAAAATAAACACATGCTTACTTAATAATTAAACAGAATTTATCTATTTTCGATATTAGATAAAATGTTTAGTAAGTCAATATGATGAACTTATTTCTCAAATTGGATATGATCAAAAACGAAGAATTAAACCAAAAATTGATGAACCATTATCAATAAGTATTCTTGATGAAAATTCGACTAATATTTTTAATAATACTCAAGAATGTTCAACAACAATTGATTATGATTTTGTTTATTCTTATTCACTTATTAATTGTCTTATTAAAATGAAATCATTTTATTCTGAAAAAAAACAATTAATTAAATTATGTGAAAATATTTATAAAGAAAATCCAAATGAATTATTAATAATTGAAGAATTTAGAAAACAATATTCATCTTTAAAATCATTATCTTGGTTAACAAGAGATTCATTTATTCAAAGATTAATTAATAAAGCATTAAGAATAAAAAATTTTCATATTTTATTTTTATCTCGATTTTATTTTCAAGATATTTATCAACAACTTGAAAAATATAAATGTTTAAAATCAATTCGTGTTTATCGAAGTTATCATTTATCAACAAATCAATTAAATTTATTTCAAAATTCTATTGGAAAAATTATTTCAATAAATTCATTTTTTCTAACAAATCTAAATCGTCGACAATCAATTTCTTATTTTAAAGAATCAATTTTAAATGATGATTATCATTCTATTCTATTTGAAATTGATGCTGATCCTCATTTAAATAATATTCATCCATTTGCTAATATAACATCATTAAGTTATTCTATTGGAGAACAAATTGTACTTTTTATGTCATCTTCATTATTTCGAATAATTAATATTCAACATGATAATAATTCATTTATTATTATTCAATTAAAATTATGTAATCAAAATGAACAAGATTTAAATATATTAAAATTATCAGATCAATTTGATTTTATTTCATTTGGTCAATTAATAATTGATAGAAAAAAATTTGATCAAGCTCAAATATATTATAATTATTTAATTCCTCAAATATCTGATGATAATTCAGATATTACTATATGTTATGATGCACTTGGATATATTCTATCAGAAAAACATCAATATAATTCAAGTTTAAAATGGTATGAAAAATCACTTATAATTAAAAAGAAATTATTTGATTCTGATGATTTACGTATAATATCTACGTATAATTCAATTGCTTCATTGCATCTTACTAATAATGATTATAATCATGCATTAGAATCTTATGAGAAAGTATTTCAAATTCTTCAACGAAAATATGGTGCTGATCATCCACGTCTAGCAGAATGTTATAATAATATGGCAATGGTTCGTAAAAATCAAGAACAATATCGAGAAGCTCTTAATTTATATAATAAAGCATTATCTATTTATGAAAAACATAATGTTGATAATAATATTAATTTAGCTTTATCATATAATAATGTTAGTTTAGTTTATCATCATTTAACTGAATATGATCTTGCATTAGAATATGGTAATCAATCATTAAAAATTTATGAAAATATTCTTCCACTTAAACATTCTCTTATTTCAATGACATTAGAAAATATTGCAAATATTTATTATGATAAAGGAGATTTTCGTCAAGCACTTAAATATTATGAAAGAGCAGCTAAGATTTATTATCATATTTTACCTTCAACATCTTCTGATGTTTTACAAATTCGAATGATTATTAAAAATATTCAAGCAAAAATCTAAATTGAATTTGTTCGATTCTTTTTCTTTTTTAATGGCTAACAATCAATTTAATTTATCTCGATAAACATTAAGAATATTTTAAATTTAAATGCTTGATGAATAAAATCTAAAAGAAAACAAAACTCATTCAAAGGACGAGAACACATCGATTCACCACAGCGCGAAAATAGATGATTTTTTTTATTGAAATCTATTCCTAAGGGTGTGGGTATTCTCTACAACAATACCGAAGCTTAGCCATTCGTATCTACATCCACAAACAGTATTCATAAAACACTTCTTCCATTGATAGTCGAGTTTGAGTTGAATGCAATTAAATTCAAACGTGACATCTGCATACTTTCTTACAAGTGTCACTCCTCAGTTCCGCTGTTGCTCATCAAAAATGACACTATAATCAAAACTATGCTCCCTTTATCTACTTAGGAAAAATCTTCGTCAAGTATTGATGCACGATGGAAGATCATTTGTAGGACTATATCGATATTATAAATCTACTTTCGGCTCTGTTTCATCATTGAAATCTTACAAATGTATTTTATGCTAAGTGCAATGAAGTTTTCATTGGATTCAAGTTAATAGAATATTGTCTGGAGCTTCATGTGTCCTATATTTGTATTGATGTTCAACTAGATATTTCTATCCTATTTTTCCATATATCTGAAAGACGATTCATATAAGACGAAAAAACAAATAAGGATAAAGAAAAATCGCTGCAAAGCCTGTAACACTATTCAGAACTCTTTTGTACAATAATATAAAAAAAAAACAATTATAAATTATACGTTTTTCAATATTATTCTTTCATTTTTCAAGAATCTTCAACGTGTATATTACTAGTACAGAAAGAAATCTTTCAAATTTATTCGAATAAGATCTCAATAGGATTGTACACCTTTTCCTTTCCATAACTTTGCCAATTGAACAACAAGAAAACTTAGAAAGTCAATACGAGATTCGATAAATCTTTGTTAGCTCATAGAAAACGAAGAACATTTTAGTTCAATTAGATGAAAGTTGGAATAATGTTATTTAGACATCAAGATTTTTTGAAAAAGTACATTCTTCAATTTGACATCTGATATGTTGTTACCAAAAGTCTTTCCCAAATACAAAGTCTAATAGATAGAATAGGCAAAAGTTTTTAATTAATACTGTCATTTCAAGTTCAAGATGATTTGTCTTTAAAAATGATGTGTTAATAGTCAATATGAAAATGTCTATCATTTTAAATAAAAATTATTCATTGACATCTATCAATATTATGGGCTCACTTGATCAACATTAACTTTTCGTCGTCGCCATCGTTTAAGATGAATTTCGAAAAGAACATAAATTAATTGATGACGAAATCGTTCGGATGCACCGAGATAAATATAGAATGGACTCTAAAAATACGTGAGGAAAAAAAAACCTATTTTCAGACCGTCTGATCAGTAAACAATGCTCACTACATAATTTAGATAATACAAATAGATAGTTATAATATTGGCAAATTGAAGTTCTGCGACAATAATTGGATCATTCGGGAGAATGGGACTGTTAATAATAGCAGTAACAATCGTATACGGTATTGTTATAAAGAAATTGTGAACAACTTGAACAAGAACCATAGTTGTCAATTGTTTGTCCAATTCACGACGAACCAATGGTACAGTTCGATAAGCCAATTGTTGAACATTACGATATGCTAAAGATCCGAAGAGGACGGTAATAGTTACTGGTATAGCACCGGCAAGAGATATTATATAAACATAAACATGATATCGAAAAAAAGCAGCATTGGTACTTGTACAAATTAGTTTATGTGATGTAGATTGTTCAATTATATTAAAATAAATCATATAAGGAATTCCAAGAAGAACCCAAAAAATGATCACTGCTACAGATAGACGATGGGCAAGTTTGATGTTACTCCAATGTTGTAAACTAGGATGAGAACAAGTAGCCAAATATTGATCAATAGTTGCCAAAGAAATCATTGTGAAAGTGATTAAGACACCAGAGTAGAGTAAATACCATCTGAAAGCACAATAGAATGGTGAAGTCAATGTCCAGTCGATGCTAAAACCAGTAATCAGTATGCGAGAGAGTAGACCGACGCATAAATTTCCAATATTGACAATTGACATAATAAGTAAATAGAATGCACATGAACTTTCGCGAAAAGTACGAAGACTAAGAAAAATAACAATCGTCAGAAATCCACCAATTATACCGGCGATGAACATCAAAATTCCTAAATATATAGCCAATTGCTGTGATAAGAAGCCAAGAAATGAAATAATCCATGCTACCATTTTTGTTTTGAATCTGTACGCTAATCTGTTACAATTGTTATTGTATTTTTTATCGAGAGAGCATCAACATGAAATGAGGAAAATAAAGAAATGACGACTCTTCATTTCATTTTTTAGACTTATCGGATGTGCATGACATGAACGTCAGAAAAAAAAATGACAAAAAAAAATTATGGTTTAATTGATAATTAGTAGAGAACATAATGATGCAAAGAAATGACGGATGTTTAAAAGAAGAAAGTTGTCCTCATTATTTTTGATAAAATAAACGAATACCTACTCGTAAGTTTTGTTTTAATGATAGGATGGTCGTTTTTATTTACAATGATGAAAAAAATTATTTATAACTCAACAATAATGAATAGATATTTTGAGAAACAGAAGACACCAAAAGAACCACTATGACTTCTATTCAGGCAGACAAAAATGAGGCAAAAACTGATCATTTTTTTGTAGCCATCAGAAACTGTGATTGTGAGAAAAATCTAACTTTCTCTGCTCTTTGTGCATTTAGACAGGTTTTCTGGAATATGCAGCTGATTGGATAATAATCCATAAATATTCACGGTTTGTTGAATTCCTAGTGCCTTGGGATGTGTTTGAATTTTCTGATGATGTTTTATTGATGTATTACTGTCTTCCAACTAGTCACATATTGCTGAAAACCAGTTTAAATGCACAAAGAGCAGAGAAAATGAACTTTCCTTCATAATCAGAACCACGATTGTGAGCGAAAAACGCCCATTTTCCTACTTTTTTATTTGCTTGGATAGTATCTACGCTCTAAATATCAAATTGTTTGACTTATACACGTTGAAGATATTTCCACATTACTACGAATTGAGAACATTCATTATCATAAATTCTTCATATCATCGATCATATAGATCCTCTATGCTTTTGACATGTCGGAGAAACTCAATAACAATGTCCTTAACGAGCTCTATTATTCATACTGGAGTTGAAAAGAATGTTGTTGATAACAGGATTCATAATTAATTCAAATGAGAATGACGTTGTTGTAATTCTCTTGGGTGAAGGGAGGATCATATGAAATAAAATGAGTTTGCTGGTTTGTGCGTTTGTTTGCACTCACGTGGACCGTCGTATGTCCGCATGTATATACATAATTTGTAACGTTTGACCAAAGGTAATTGGAGTCGAAGAATCCAAATTCGTAATCGTTTTCTCATTGGTCATACGGAAAAAATCAAATAAGTTTGTATGTATATAAGCATGTTTGTTTGCCGTCAGATATACAGTCACATGCCTCCATATATTTCTCAAACATCGGATAAACTATGTAAGATGACTATGTTTTGAGCTGTACTGTCCGTCAATCTGATTATTCTCTATTTTTGCTCTCGTCCAATCAGGTATTCGGCTGTTCGGATTCCAGTCAAACAGAGATTTGTACTATCAGGGTGTCGTGCAGGTACACTTTCAATTCATAGGTTCTCCGTTTATCCGATGTTGGATATATTCAGCTGTTGACTAATCCTTGTTTTCTGACCGAAATTACAGTCTATAAGCTGCTTTGTGTATGTGAGATTCATCGTATCAGTTTTTTCAGGCAAGGTTTTCGGCTAGTCACATATTTTTTCAAATATAATCTTGGTCCAATCAAAGTTTTTATGTTTTGAAGTGAGCTAGGCGAGTAAGCTCACTTTGCATGTCTCGTCGGTTTTCGTTTTATCTTTGTTGGGCTCGAACAATTTGTTGCTTGTCCACACTGATATTTAACATGCGTCAACGCAGCATACTCCATCTATAGTCAATTTCACAAAAGCCCTAGTATTTTCAAGTTCCAGCCGAGATCATGTCATTGATAATGCAATAATTTTTTGCAAGTAGTCAAAACATTACTTGAATAAATTATCAAAAAAAGTGGATAATCTTTGAGCGAAGTAGGCTCAAGCATGTGAGTGGCGCATCTGCAGGACAACAACGAAAGACTAGCCGCTAATCTACAAGGTTCACCGAAGATACTCTTCAGACCACTATGATCCTTAGAAAAACTCTCTACTGACTGGATCCAATCGATTGAAACAGTGTCTGACAGTGACACAAAGCTGAAAAATTCTTGTTTTTAAACGAAGTCTGTGAAATGTGAAATAATTTTTCTGCAGAAGTCAAAAATATAAAAAGTACATTTGATGGAAAACATCGCTTAGTGACTTGGTATTCAAATAGTTTCTGTGGAGACAAAAAAAGGCAAATTTTTTCATGGTTGAAGCACAAAGGTTGATTATTGCAAAAATTGGATTGAGGATAACTTGCATGTTTGAATTTTCTTTCCTTTCTTAAAATATAACGGTGACGATAACTGTACATACGGTTACTAGTACCAACAAGTTTTCGTGAAGGAAATGGTTCTTGCAGAAAATAACGATCTTTATAAAGTTCTACCAAAGGAAATTGGGATCGCGGAAACAGAATCTGACATCAGATTCTTGAAAATTTTAAGTTCAATAGTTTCACTAAAAAACTTTGTTTTTCGTACAAAACTTTTTTTTCTACGAAAAAGTCGAGCACCGAATTTTGAGAAAATGATTGCAGACTCGAATTCCATGACTCCGATTTACTTACGTCAACTTTTATAAAAAAAAAACATTATTTTCTTAAGAAACTCTTTCGTTCGTGAAAACCGATGAATCCCTAACAATAGTATAGCAAACAACGCTTTGCTTCGTATGAAAATCACAACATTTACAAGAGTAACGCACTGCTATCAAGAACAGTGAATTGTGTAAAAGTCTATTTTGATGTGGGTGCTAACGAAGGGAATAAATACAGGAATTACACTCACATTCTCAACAAACTCAATTCCATACTCAATGTTGATATTCGATATTTCAAAAGCTTCTCAAATTATGTCAATTTTTTTTTCAAACATGTTGTTATTGCATAAATGTCAACAAGTATTTATACAAGTCGAATGTCGAAATTTTAAATCTCAACTTTTTTTTCGAAACCAGAAAAATATTATATTTAACGTTTTGGATATTTTGTTTTTGGTCAGATAAGTAATAAATACCTTCAACGAAAAAGGTATGGGTGTTAAGAAAAGATGGCACCTGCACCTACATACGCCCTTGAAGATGAAATAGATACATCGAGAAAAAAAAATTTTGTTGTGATTTTGATACTTCTCAAAGATTTAATCATGCTTGAGTAATATTTTATAACAGATTTCATGAAATAATCAATAAAATAGATTTATCAATATCTAAAACTTTTGATCTACATAAGAAATTCATAAGAAGAACTTGATGAAAATCTATTCATTCATCAAATCTTGGATCATCGATCAACATCATACGAATTTGAGATTTTTGATGAGGTGTATGATAAATAGTTTGATTCGCTATGATAGGTGATTGTACGTCAGAAGCGATCGATGCACCAGTATTTGGATTTACACTGATCCAAGGAAAAAAACTACTCATAACTGCTAATCGAATACAATGTTGTGGAAGAAATGTATGTCCAATAGCGTGCAAATCAATACGAATGAGATAAGTTCGATTGGACGACATAAATATTTCTTGATCAAAACCATTTCGATAGCGTGTACGAAGTTGACCTGCAGCTTTAGAACCGAGTTTAATCGAGCGTCCATCAGTCATTACATCCATTAGTTCAATCACAAAATCGGTATCACGTGCTGTGCTCGAGATTATCAATTCAACAACAATATCACCAATCACTGTAATTGACTTATTTAATGGCTCAGTGGTGTATACAAGAATATCATTACGATCCAGATAGGAATTAATATCGATGGGAAGAATAATAGATTTATTATTTATGTTACTTATCACTGGTTTGGTTGGATCATGAAGATAGGAATCTGTTGCAGCAATACTTGCTGCGTTCCATTGTAGTCGACCATCCCCTTTTATGCTATTAGCATGCCCTTCACTTATCAAGAACAATGATCGCTCGTGAGCTTCTGGTGGTGGAAAAATATTGCGAGTCATCCATTAATTACTTCCAGTTATATAGATTCTAGTTGGTTTCCATTCAGGTCGTCGACCATCTTTCAAACACCATTCAAAGAATTCATGTGTCATGTTCAAACCTGGTAATAGTGCATTTTCGGCAACAGGAAAATCTCCAACCATTGTCATCGGCTCTCTCGTTCGATAATCATAGCCACCATCAGGCGCATTTCCATGTGTGTAAGGACCGATGATAAGAAATTGATCATCACTCCGGGGTGCATAAGAACGTGCTTCTTGAAAACGCCAGATTGTTCCATACATAGTACCATCGAACCAACCGGTGAAAGCAAGTGACGGAATTGTGATACGTGCAAAGTCGTCCGGAATGAAATCGATACTGCGCCAGAAATGATCATATGTTGGATGATCAAGAAATGTCCGGTAGAGTAACAACTTTTTTCCTGTTGCATAAAGATCTAATGTTCGAAGTGGTCGATGATTTAGCCACATCATAGGATCGGGATGCGGCTGGTTTATCAGTGATACATTAATATTCAAATCACGACTAATCCAGTTGATCGCCCACCCAACCGCAAATGCGCCATCAAAATATGGAACATCCTGCATTGGACGGCCCATCGTAGCACTCGGTGTAATACATGAAAGATGCGGTGGTTGTTCTCGTGCAATAAACCACTGATTAGTTCCAGTATAAGACGAACCACGCATTCCAATACGACCATTAGACCATGGTTGATTCGCGATCCATTCGATCAAATCATAGCCATCTTGACCTTCACGACTAAAAAATACCATTTCACCATCCGAATCACCTGTACCTCGACAGTCAGCAATAACGAATGCATAACCATACTTACGCCAATATGAGGCTTCATATCGATAATTGAATCGATCAGGTCCGCGTCCATAAGGTGTTAGTTCGAGAATCACTGGGAAACGTCCAATGTTTGATACCACAAGATAATCAACTGCAAGTTCGACACCATCACGCAATCGAACACGTGTTGTTTCGAAAATCACGTTTTCATTTTCGTCAGTTGTCAATGGTGAGTTTGATGTGCCTGTAAAATTCAAACGAATAAAAATTTCAATCTAAAACAACATACATTCTACCTAAATGCGTTGAGTTAAAACAATCACTGATTAGTACTTTATCAGCTTTGTGGTTAAGCGCTGCCAAATGTTTTGTTGAACTAACTAGTACGCAACACTCGACAACAAAAATTAGAAAAGTGTGTGTCATATTTTGATCTAAGAGAAAACAAAAATGTCATTCAATCTCGATCAATACAAATGACAAATAGATATATTCTCTCAATTTGACTCTCGTCATTTTATTTTTCTTCAAAGATAATAATCTCTTTCTTTTTTTTTCTTTCTCGTTATTCATATCTGATTGACAGAAGAATTATGCAAATAATCAATGGGCTTTATTTGGACGGATAACATTTTCTCTTATTAAAAGTAGTAAAGATTGATTAACAAAAGAATTAATCCTATAAGATAATATCTAATAAATACATTCAAATATTGACAACTTTTTTCAATATTTCTTATAAAGAGATTTATTCAATCTTTCGCATATTTATGTTGAAAAACAACAGATTATACAACATGCTGAAATGAATTTGTCTATTGTACTATTTAATGTAAGTGTTTCTATCGAAAATTTAACTCAACAAAAATCAATACCGTTTGCTACATATTCTGGTATATCGTGCCGAATCGACGTCAATTCAACAATTTCTCAAATCTAATTGCATATATACTCTTATTAGTTTTCACATTGTTTATGTATAATATCCTAGTCGATTTGTAATCATTTTTCTGAATTATAAGTTCTGAACCTTGAAAAACGATTAGTTTATGTACAGATGAAAAATGAATTTTAACTGATTGGATCTACATGAAATTCAATTACTCGAAACAATATAATATTAGATGATATTTTCTTTTGCAAAAATAAAAATATGTATAATATTCAATCTTTTGAAATTCTGACTACGAAAAAGAAGAATACTATATTTAACAGATACACATATTGAATTGATTATACAAAAAACTATAAGTTAACTATCATATATACTTGTTCATCGCCACTATTATTACTTCACCAAATCTAGTTTTTAACAATCTAGAACTCAACAATATTCACTTATTTTGTTCATTTATTTATCACTATGGGATGTGGATGTGGAGATAGTCTAGATCATAACAACAACACCCACATTCATACCCGATTTGGTTGAACCTAAAACAATAAAAATATGGAATGCTTCACGATTTTCCGTGTCATCCATACGCACAGGGACCATGCTAATATGCTCTGTATCGTTCCAATTTTATTATATGCCCTACCAAAGTGGGACGACTATCACTTTATCTCATGGCTGTATATATTGAAGCAAGAGTAATAAAAAGAAAACGGTGAATGAGCAGAATGAGAAATTTCAAACAATACGAATGACTGACGTCTATCAGAAAGAGTTTTATACAACTTGTTCTCTTTTGTATAAGCGTTGTGATGTGTGTGATATGTGTAGTAATTTACATTGTGCTTTTATTTGTGTCCATAATCGAAAATTTAAAAGAATCTAAAAGATATAAGCCTTAATAGTCTAAAGGAGAAGACGTACGACTAAAGATCGTGTCATCTAAGTTCGATTTACATTGTTCACTTATTATACAAATCATGTTTAATGACCCATTCATATAATGAGTCTGAGAATGATCGCAATAGATAAGTAAATCCTGTCTTGATCACGCTGACCAAATTGAAATTTCAGAAATCAAGAGTTTTTCTATTTGAAGTTAAATAAGCATTTGGTGGTTTTTCTTAAGGTTTATTTTTGCTATAGAAGAACCAGGAAAACATTTAGTTATATCTATTACATACACTTCAGCGGTTTGTATTCTGTTTTCATTCTTTCCCGATTCTTTCTTTTCTGATTCATCAGTTAAAATTATTTTCATCTTGAAGTTCGAGCAAAAGTACTTATATGGACTAGTAGAACAATAAAAGATTCCTGTCCGAATGGAAAGATAGACAATCATGTTTTATTTCTTGTATCTCTATATGAATCGTTTATATTGAGTTCCTCGTCCATTTCTGTAATATGTGTTTTACCGTTAGTATGCTATACAAATAAGGTAACATTTAACGAATGATTTTTGTTTTTATCGGTATCTTCATTTTTCTCGTTTTATTATTGATCTATACATTTCTTTTATATTTTTGATTCTTGTAAAACTTCGACAGTAAAATACCAGTGAAAATAAAATTATAACAGTTTCATACTAATAATGAAAATAAAACGCAGAAATCTTGCGAGATTGTCGAAGATATTGCTCTCTTTTGAGATACAAAAAAGGATTCGATCTGACTTTCAAGAAGTGTAAAATTCTTTCCAGCTGAGAGACGTCTTGCGTGGCTATTTATGATTCTGTCTACCGGATTCTTGTCTGATTTTCAAAGTCTTGTTTTTCAGACAAGAATCTTATATTAAATATATGGAAGAAAAACTGATTTTTTTTCTACAAAAATTTGGAAAAACCAGAAACGAGCATATTTACTTCTCCTGTGAAAAGTAACAGTGAAAATGCTTTATAGTATGAAACCAGTGGCAGATCCAGAAACTTCTAAAGGAAGGGTCAGATAAGTGAAAATGAAGCGCGGATAAAACAAAAATGCAAAATTTCCAAGGAAAATCACTAGAAAAAACGTGAATCAAAGTCCAAATGGAAGAGCGACTGTATCTTCGATCCCTACTCTAGGTCTGCCACTGCATGAAACACCATAGCACCATCGGCAGCGCGTCATCGTGTAATTTCAGATGTTCTTATATTAAATGTTGCGTCAATAGTTTTCTTTGAAACAAACCAATCACAAAGCCATAGATTTTAATAGTAAAACCGATATCGATCAATTAATTCATGTTATTGATTATTTTTGTTCGAAAAATACGAAATAAAAGCAACGTATTTTTCTATTCATTACTGTAACCATTAAGTCACTGATATGGTTCTCTTTTTTTCTTTTACCTCTCTTATTTGTTTAAAATGTCACCAACAATCAAACAGGAAAAAACTAAAAATCAGGAGAAAATCCTGAAAATCAGCTCCTAAAGTCAGAATTTTCTACCAAGAGAAAAGTTCAAAAGTCAGTAGTCTTCTGATCAAATCAGGAGATTTGATAAGCCTGGTCTTGATCGAGGCATATAAAAATTATTGTTACATTTTTTTCGTGATTGTACAAAGCTTTTATGCAATAACGCTTGAATGACACCAAGACCGATGATTTCGGAGCATGGAAACGGGAGTAACGTGCCGAAAACATCTCTTGATCATGGGAGTAGTATTCCGGCTGGAAAATCACTGTACCGAAAACAACATTTTCCAGACGATTCCTGTGACTGGAATCAGCAAGTAATTACACTGTATCCAAACCGAAACACACGGGACTAGAACTGTTTCTCTCAGGCACCCACCGAAATAACACCGGATGGGGTGTGGATGTAGACATTTCATGTTAATGCGCACCCACATCTACACCCTTATCAGCGTCGGACGTAATAAATACATGTTTCTTTTATAGTCGTTTAGTTATAGTCCTATCATACATGACTATTACGTAATACCGCGTTATGACGTCGTACCAGAAGAAAGAGCAAAAGAATTCACGAAAGAACGAAACAACATATATGTTATATTCGAGTTTATCCGAAAGAGCGGAAAAAAATGAATGTCAGTAATGTAAGGATTTTTTTTCTTCTTTCTTTCCTTCGTGACTATAATGAAATATACGATTTCATTATATTTGAAGACGTTTCAGCTCATCACTATTCACGCCCACACCCCACCCTAAAATTCTTTGTCTTATAAGCATTTTAAAGTTGAGTTATAACGTTCTTCATTCACTAGTAGAAGACTTGGAACGTTTCTGCTTAAGTTTTATTTATTGAACATTTGAAAAAGAAAATACAATATACCGAAGAAATATTGGAAAAGTCTTTGATAGAAAACAATTATTCTTCAAATCGCACAATGTCGCTATCATCATCATCACTCTCAGCATCTTCACGAGACAGTTGCTCTGAACAAATGCTTTCTCTTCTTTGATACTCTGACTCACGTCGAGATTCCTCGTCACTTCTTTCTCTTGTTTCTACGTGAAATTTCCTTAACAACTTAGCAAAATTCTCTTCAGAATGATCTAGATAATCCAGAAACTCTAATCTCTTAGCTTCAGTGAAAAAAGCAATAGTAAGAAATTTGTTGCCCCATAAGATTCTGAAATCATAAGTTTTACAGTTAAGTGCTTCTCCATTTTGTGCCTTTTGCTGATGTTCTTTTTCTAACTGTTGTCTCTTTTCTTTGGTCTGTTTAATCAAAACTAAGATATGGTCAATTTTCTTTGAATTTTCTGAGGGAATCTTTAGAGACTTTTGCAGACGCTGAATCTTGTTTTTAATATCCTTTTGCTCTTTCGAGAGTAGAGACTCATTGCTCGGAAAGAAATCAGCTTGTAATTTCAATGTGGAAAGTTCTTTTTTGATGGCTGTATGATCTTCCTCTTTGCTCTCTCGATATAGCCTTAATTGTGCGTGCAACTGATTCAGTTCTTCATTGCATTCTTTCAAGGAATTACTATAGTTCGTTAGCTGTTCTGCCACAGTGAAATGGCTAAGGTTGTTTCCTCGAGTTTCATCAGTGTCTTTCAACATAACTTCATACTTAAAAATTAGTTTGGAAACACAACCGAACTGGTATAGATATCGATCCAGGTAGAAAAGATGAACTGTAGGTCCTACTTCTTTTAAAAACTTTTTGTAAATAGCTGAAATACCATTTTCCCATGCCCAAACATCGATTGAAACCTTATTATTCAAAGCGTACTCAATAACAGGCTTAAAGTCTGAATCACCTGACACTAAAACAATGTGCGTTTTTTCATTCTCTTTTTTCTCGACGGATCTGCGTATAATATCAGTTATTTTAACACCTATGCTAACATCTACACCTTTCTCTTTTTCTCTAACAACAACATCACTTTTGTCACTTCTACCATCTTCAGCTTGAGCTTTCCGTTCAGTTGATGTTGTAATACGTTCATAAAGTAAAACATTGTATTTTTCAATCATTCTTTTGTATATTTGATTGTTTTTAATACGTTCTTCTGCTCCAGGTCGATGAGAAAGGAAAATAAAACAATGATTTAGATAAGGCAATGGCATATACTGATCCCATTGACAACAAATGAGTTGTAGATGGTTAGACCAAAGTACATATGACGGCTTCGTGTTAGCCTGAAAAATCAAAACGGACATGATTTATTAAAAGGTTCAGCAAAACTCATTTGTTCACACCTCGTTTCCACTTCGTAAATAATGCTTTTCCAAAAATTGTCTTCGTCTATCACTTGTTGTCAGTTCTTCTTGATAATCAAGTAGTTTTTTCATGTTGTACTGAAAAGCACGACATCGACTGTTTGAACATCTGACATGAAAGTTAAATTTACTATAGTTTTACCTGTACTTCATTTTCATTCATGTGTTTCAATAAGTTGAACAGGTTTTCAATACCTTTACTAGTACCTAAATTTGTATTGTCGTATTGTTTCAAACCATTTATAAACTCAGCTAATAATTGTTCAAGAGTCAAACTATTTTTCTGTTGTGCATTTTTATTTGTAGTAGACTGTTCTTCTGGTGTTACATCACTAGATTGTGCTTCTGGCTTTCCACTCATTGTTTGTTTTGAAAATTGTTCTTGTTTATGTAACTTTTTAGCTTGTCTGTAAGCATTCGACCAATCAACAAACATGAATAAGTTTTCCTAAAAAGAATATTCAACTATTGAAAACTTCACAAATACGGTGTGGATGTAGGTGTTGATCTCTGCGTAACTTACACGGATACTCGCGAGTTTGATTAAATGATATCAGATTAAATGAAATCAAATAGGAATATTCATCGTCATCACAAGGTAATTACTATTATTATGATCGACTGAAGATGAGTAATGTGCTGTTCGAAAGCTCTATTTTATTGTTATTATGATTATTGTAATATATAGTATTCACTTCTTGTGTATTTTCTCAGTTCGTGTATCTATACATGAAAAATATCCTCTTTTTCCTTTACAAACAGGGAACTTGCATTTCGACATTATATAGAAAATGTGCATCTTTCGATGCTCTTTCTAGGCATGTATAAACATTAGGAAAAAACCGTCGAAGAAGATAAGTGAGCAAAATATTGACACAGGCAAAGAATTTGACCTGTTTTTTGCAGTTTTTTTCTCGCACAGAAGCTTTTGACTACAAATGACGTCAGATTCTGAATCTACGTTGAATTCCGAGTCGAATGATGTAGAATATATTGTAATGCAGCGTGAAAAATATTTTTTCGATTCAGAGCAAGTATAAAAATTACGACAAAGTGGTTATTTTCTAGAAAATGTTTTCGTGTTGCATTACCATGTAAAAAATGGAAAAAAAACAGGTCAAATTCTTTGCATGTTTCAGTATTTTGCTCAATCCATCCTCTTAAACGATTTTTTTTCTAATGTTTATATATGTCCAGAAAGAGCATCGAAAGACGCACATTCTCCATATAATGTCAAAATGCAAATCCTGTTTTTTGTAAAGAAAAAAAGAGAATATGTATGTCTGCATGTAAATTGATCTAATTTATGTATCACAAAAGATCTGTGCGAAAGTCGAGTGAAAAGTGGATCAGAAAAAAAAATTTTCAATGTGTAAAAAAACTCGATCACTTTTTGGTTGTTAAACAAAGATTGAAGGTATTATACCATAAGAAAGGCTGCCATCGAGCTTAAAACGTTATAAAAACGAATCAGCGTCTATTTTTCTCTTGTTATATCATAAAAAGCAAGTGATCCAAAACTTTTTCTTTTCTGGAACCATCCTTTCACTAGAAGCGAATATTTTTATCATCATTGTGGATTGGCCTTTCAGATGGCGTCTATTTTTCGTGCTCTTGAGAAAGCTCTGGAACTCTCAATTTCCTTTTATCATTATTCAAGCGGGACACAACACATTGTTACTTACCCGTTTATGACTGAGGCCAGTTCTTGGAGAAACTGAAGTTGTGGTTGATATTGCATTGGTAGCCATTTAAAGAATATCACGTTGTGCACAATGATAGTTTATTTAGTTGTTATCAGACTGAATGCTTGCAAAATTATATTTTTTCTTGTTTCTACAAAAAAATAAGCACTAATACTTTGGCTGCCCTTCTGTACGTTGCTCTTTTGTCACTATGAATGAGTTTTTGTCTATAATCTAGAAGGTAACCCAAAAAACAGAAATAAAAAATTAATCAGCCAATGCAAATATTGTGTGGCATTTTTTTATATGAGATTTTTCTTCTTTGCGATCTTGAGCCAGCTTTTTCTTATTTTTATTCACTTAAATCATTAATAAGATAAGAAAGTTGAGAACTGTTTTTGAGTGGTAGAACACAAAAAAGTAATCGTTTCATATATTCTTACTGAAGGGTTGTTACAAAGACGAACAAGAGGCATTTATCGAAAGATCGACAAAAAAAAAGCTTTCTCCTATGACAAACATTAATTTAAAAGATTTGATGTTTTTCTTTTACGAAAAGAAGGCAAAACGGAAACTTTTTTGCTTTTATGTTAGCAATTTTATTTTTCTATCACAAGTCTCCTTACTCACTGTAGTGTCACACAAGAGAATAATTTTTATGGTCCAAATTTAAGTATATTTTTTGTTACTATTGCTGAATGTATTAGTGCGCGACAAAAGTTTCGCTCGTATTGAAATAAATTTTTTATATTATTTTGATGTATGAGAATAGAATACAACACATATATATATACACAGAGGAGTTCGAGACATTCACGCAGCACATAGTGATTTTCTGGTTGTTTGCTTCTACTTTGAGCACAGTAAAAATATGTGAATACATCCATTTTTGGATGATTTATTGAGAAATGAGATGGATCATATGAAGTCAGCTTGAGTTCATAACTTTTGATCATTTGGAGGGAAGAGTTTCGGCCATATTTCGCAAACAGGCAATACCAAGAACAGTGAGCGCGAAATTTCCATATATGTAAAACTTGAAACTTGAATTCAATTCAACTTTCAAGTTTCAAGTGAGTTATCAAGTTTCAACTTTCAAATTTCAACTTTCAAGTTACTACGAAAGGATTGACCGCAAAAGAACGGGACGTGAAGGGACTGTTCGCGAAAGGAGTGGCCACATTACGACACACATCACATCGCAGCTGCTGTGGGTGCCGCGAAAGGACTGGCCACACTACAACACACATCACATCGCAGCTGCTGTGGGTGCTGCGAAAGGACTGGCTGCAAAAGGACTGACCGCGAATTGTAACTTGAAAGTTGAAAGTTGAAAACTCAATTGAATTCAAGTTTCAAGTTTGACACTACTGAAATTTTCTGCGATATCTATAATAACAATAGAACTTCAAGTTTTTAATAAAATCGACAATAACATAATATTTTTGTCATCGAGAAGCAATTTTAAAACTTCGAAAAAATTCAAAATAATGTAACATCTAAACGTCATAAAGAAAATATAGAAAAAACTCGAAGAACTTATAGACCTATCATCTGTAGGAGTGAAAAGAGCATTTTTTCTGTTTACCATTACTTCAGTCTGATTAGAAAAGATCGAAAAATAAAAAGCCAACAGATAGTAACATTATTTCTTTCATTTGTTAATTTTTTTTTAAAGATAACCTATGTAAGAAGATAAGGAAAGCAAAATCACCCACAACTTGTTGTTGCCTCTTCTTCAGTTTTACTTGTGCTTCTTAAGAGGTTTGATAAACAAGCAAAATTACAATATGTCGGCTGCAATCAAGGGTATGGCCGGTTCTTACAATTCAAATTCACGTTTACAAATGCGTACAGTTGAATCTTCATTGCCATTCATTCAACAAGCTATTGATGTTCTTGATCTTTCTTGTCTTTCATCGATGCAATCACTCATTATTGCTGATTTTGGTTCATCACATGGTTTAAATTCTATGTATGCTGTGAAAGCTATTATTACTTATATAAAAACATCTAGAAATGAACAAAGATCATTTCTCATAATTCATAATGATTTACCAACAAATAACTGGACAATACTTTTTGATCTAGTCAATAA